GCACTAGTCTCACATGAGAGTAATGCGCTTTTTTCGGGTGAAACAGTGAGCTGAGTTACCTATTCGTGGCTTTTGTAAAACCGCTGTCATTTTTTTATCTTTCTGTTTCCTCAGCATCTTGGAATTTTTTCGGTAACATGAGTAAGTTGCTGTCTGCTGCTATTAGCATTATTCAGGACACAACGTTAGTTCCACGTAAAAATAGTAAATTTTTATTAGTAATTGTTCAGAGCCAAATATTCAGTGCTATTGCCAAAATTCTTGCCAAAATCTACCTTAATCCGTCGAAAGCAACTACTGGATCATCAAATGTGCAATAATATCAGAGGCCAAAATCCTTATCTTGTTGTTTTTGTATAAACGAGCACCTCCGCGTCCGCCATCCGACAAACTGACGAATAAGCTGGTTAGGTATCACGCAGTAGTTCTAGATGGTCTACACACCGCTTCATAACCTAAAGAAACTGTTTTATTTACATTTGAAAGCAAAAAAAAAAAATTTGGCGTGGAAAACGCAAAAAAGTTCACGGACAACAACTTTGAAAAAAATCTTACCTTCCTCAAGGCTAACTTTACTGAAACAAGTGATGGACACATTGGAGAAGTGTTGGGATATATCTAGTCGTGGCGCTTCCGCTGTAGCAAATCACTGAATTAATTTTTTTTTTTGGAGGAATTAGAGCGACTCTGATGCAGTGCCTTACGTCATACGGAGGCATTTGGAGGTTATCCGATCAACATTCTTCAGGGTCTACTAAAGTTTTGTGTTACGTGTTCAGCGGATGTCTTACCAATAATATCTTTTTGTTAATGTTTTACCTTTCAGTGTTTCCAATTTCTCGCTTTCCGACTAGAGACTTTAGCAGGAATGTGGAAGTGTTTTCATTTTTTACACTTACCTTTCAAATTATTTACAACGATTTCGTCTTAAAGTGATAGTTCAAGAAATTGATTTTCTAATAAGCAAAAAATTTTGAAACGTGGAAGAAATAAAGAAGTAATAAAAAAAAAGGTAACAGGAATACTGTTAGTACTCATCTTTCCAAATTTTTGGTGTAGATATTCGATTATCCAATTAGATTTAAGGAGAAATGTGGGGATGCTTGAAAAACGTAAGTGGGAGACTTCTCTGCGTAGGAAGAGTAAACGCAGTAGTGCTTTTCTACGACCGCTGAAAAAAAATGGGAACTTTTGCACTTCGGTGACTGCGTAAGTTCATTTCCTACATATGGACTGCGAGAAGAACGTTGCTGCAGTCGGATGCAGTCGAAGGGAAATGTCGATTATGTCAAGCTTTAACTCGTGATTCTGACGCTCATTTTTGGTATTGGGACTGTGCGTCTTTCAGTTGGAGATTTATAAATAGTGTTGGGACACTATAGACGGGTTTGACATTTTGTAAGAACAGGAAGGCAGAGCAGCTGACTAGAAGTATGGAACAGTAGTATGAGATAGTTGGAACGGTGACTTAACATTACTGGCGCGAAAAATGTTTAATTGTCCAGGTTTGAGGTAAGTCGGGCAGTGGTGCTTACAGAAGTTTAGGTAGGCTGACTTATTTAAGAGATATATTGAATAAGGTCTCGTGGTACACATATACCGCTGTCCCCTCTTTCTTTGTCGATGCTGCCTCGTCCAAGTTTCCCGCCAGAAAGCAGTTAGCCAATCGACGCGATGGGGCTGTCAAAGGGAGTAATGCCAAAAAATGTTTGCTTGAATTCCAATTGGTATTTTTCCCCTGAATTTCAGAAGCTCTGCGGTTACTTGGCGTTATTTCGTTTGTAGAATTTGTGGCGACATATATGTCGTTGAATGTTATTGGATTCTGAAGGCCATGCTGAGTTATTTGCTGGGATTTGGTTCAGAGGCTAGTTTATGTTTTTTTCTTTGTTTTGTACGCCGTTGAAATACATGAAAAATGTAGCGCGCAGTAGTTGGCCACAACTGTGGCGGACATAATGATAGCAAAACTTTCAGGAACACTATCTTTAGATTAGAGGCTAAGTGAGAAAAATGAGTCGATGGTACGTAAAACAGCTTGTCCTTTTTTAAAATCGCTTGATTAATAGAAGCACTAGCGTTCTAGCCGTTCTGAATAAGTTTACCAACCTTGGTAGAATAAAAATATGAAGGAGAAGTATGATTCCTC